TAAAATTCTGACCGAACTGGCAATGCCTCAAAGAAGTTTAAGATTAACATCACAGACTAGAAACAAAAGTACTGTAAAACTGTAAAAAAAAAGAGTACTAGTGAGCCTTATGGTATGATTGAAAACAAAATAACTGAAGCATCAATATTGCTTGTGATTTTCAGTCCAACTCTACAGCACAGAAATTCAAGCACATTTGAGTAAGTATCCACAGTGCTGGTGGTTCCCATGATTCAAACCTCTGTGGTTTCTTCATCTTCACCAGTACCTTTGGTGGAAAAATTAGATTGCTTAATAAAAATGGTAGATACAAGAAGCAATGACCTTTGCAAAATCATCTTACAACAGTAAGGTCCCAAATGTGGCACACACATAAAATTATACAGGTTAGTCTTTGGCCTCCTCAGACAGGTCCCAAGCAGCTCCCATGCTGACTGAAAACACGTGAGAAACATGGCAGATGTTATTTTGCTTTGCTTGCCTGAGTGACTTTTGCTTCACATATTAAATTGCCTTTACCTGAACCCATGAGTTTTCTCATTTTTACTCTTCTGATTCTCTCCCCCATCCTGACGCAGGGGAAGTCAGTGAGTGGCTGTGTGGGGCTTAGTTGCCAGCCAGGGTCAAACTATGCCACTACAATAGACAAAAGAGAGGAAAAGGCTGCCTGCACAGAAATAGTTACAAAACAAAACCCAATCCCACACATACAGTTGTTATGAAACAAAGTCATGTGCTCAAATGACTCAGTGAAACCTTGCCCCCCATGGACGTGAATGGAATTTTGGCCATTGGCCCCAATGAGGTCAGACTTTTAGTCCCATTTTTGTAATCCTTGTCTATGCATCCTATTTCTAGTATGGATATACTGTATTTGATGCTGTCACTCCTGCACTCTTTCATTTTTTCCAGCTAAAAGATATTTGTAAATATTCTCTGCCTCCCCCAGAGAAACACCCAGCCCAAATCATGCCTCCCTGCTGCCCCATGCTATTTCTACTCTTACAGACTGTCAGAGATGGGAAGGATGCCAGCATCTCCTGCCCCACCTCGCACTCAGCAAAACTGCGAGGTAACAAAGGTAAGCCAGGCCCTAAAAGTTTGCAACATCTGGCATTGCTGGCTGCTGCTTCTGACAGCTTGTGCGCATGTCAGCATAAGAATGTTGTTTGAAGTGTCTGTGGTCAAAAATGTCATGTCACATTTGGTAGTAAAACGGAGTTTAAAGGACCCAGATAGGAAACTGTGTTTTCCTCCCAGCCACTTCCTCTCACTCAGTTCAGCAACTGCAGTTTCTGCTGTGTAGTTTCTAGCATACAAAAATGATGGTTAAAATGAGTTTATGTTCATACAGGTTTTGTAACACAGACAGAATAAAATTTTGGGCCATTGTTTTCACGCTACATATAACACATTCAATGACAAGATTTGCAAAATCATAAAAGCCCTTGACTCGGGGTGTGTTGTGAACAGCATGAAACAATATCATCTTCTTTGTGCTTAATTTCTTACTAACTCATGTTTGCACTGGGAGTCGTGCAATACCAATGCTGGCCTGTCAAGCCAGGGTAATTTTCCATATTCTTCACAAGAATCTGATATTTCAGGCAATAACATTCATACGTCGACTACTGTGGTTAAGAATTGTGCTGTACTGCCACCTTCTGATACAAGATAATCAGCTATTAATAATCCCATTATTGTGATACAGTCCTGCAATATGAATCTAGGAATAATTAGACAATAAATTGTTGTGTCAGTAACCGTACTACGATAAAAATTAATATGAAATTGTGCATATGTTAATTAGACTTTTGAACGTCTCCTCTCACATGGTATGACTTACTGTTTGAATGAACAAATTTTTTAAAAAGTCTATTTTATCATTTCATTGTTGTAGCGTTTTCTCAGGTGCTATATCTATCATAGAATAGAGTGAGGAGCGCAGCAAATTTTACAGCTATTTAGCCAGGACTGCAAACGTAAATAACAAATAAGCGACCAGTACGTCATGGGGCAGTGAGGGCTAGGGGCTCCCCAGGGCTGGGTGGTTGTAGTGGCAGGGACTCCCCATGGCGGGTGGCAGGGCAGGGCTGGGCAGCCAGGGCCCATCCACCACCCAGACAGGAGTGGAGCATCCAGGAGCAACGGGGCAGCCCCAGCCAGGAGCAGCTGGGGGACACCAGTGCAGCCCCAGCCCCAGGCATCAGGCACCTCCCTGGGGATGGGCCAAGAGATTTAAGTGAGCACTTTTCCCAAAGAGCCCTATGGGCGAGGGAACAGCAATTGTACTGAGCAGGGAGATGCACCCTAAATTCTCCCTGTCTAGCATAACTGAAAAATCATTTCACTTCTATGAAGTACCCATAATTTCTTAAATATAGAGGCACTAAGTAAGTATGCATTACTGAAACCATCATATGAATATTTCACACCTCTCTTGCCTCTGTTTTATCATGTAGAAAAGATGTTTGGAACATTTAAAGATGTCTTCCAATTTGGCTTTGCGAGGAATGTCTAATGACAACAGTTTCACCATTTCTCACGCTCCTTTGTAATCTTTATACTCAATAACTGATTTATAATTAAAAGCTCTGGTGATATTCTTCTGAAAATAGTAATCAGAAACACGAAAAATTACTTCTGTAAACTGTAATGACAACAGCTTATAACAACTTCAGAACCTGCTCAGTGAAATATAAACATGTGTTTTATGTATTTCATAACAAAAGCCATACTGTTATGTGTATGGATGGTTATGTTAAAACCAAGTTAAAGTAGCACTGTTAAATCTTCAAACTTAAAAAATACCAGAATTAAGATTATTGAGGAATTTTAAAATTTTACTTCCTTTAGCTCTGAATCTTGTAGCCAGTTATGCCCTGATCAGTCTAACAGTCCATGTATTTAACTTCCACTGAACTTTTTCTTACTCCCTCAGACCTACATTTTGTTTGTATTTCTATAACATCACATGCTAAAGGTATATAGTGCATGCAGTTCTCCCTCCTGACTCCCATCTGTGCATCCCATTCCCCCAGTACTGGTCATCCCATTTCAAAAACGAGAAAGCTGAACAAGAAGGAGCACAAAAAAGAACGGCCAGAACTATGGAACAGTATCTCCTAAGAGATTAAACACATCCAGACTCTTCAGGCTTAAACTACCGTGATAGAGGACAGATGTGACAGACAGCTATGAAATCATTAATGGTGTCGAGAAAATTAATAGAGAACAATTGTTCACTATTTACCATAACACAAAAAAACAAAACAGGTGCCACTCAAATCATAGTGTAGCAGACGTACAGAAACCAACAAGAAATACTGTGCATTTGCTCAATTCCTTATATTCCTCCCCTAGGTAACTACTAGTAGCTCAGATGAGGGTACTGGGCTAGATGGACTTTTGGTGCAATGAAGCATGATCATTGTCATGTTATGACAATGATGTTATATAATTAAATTATACAGAAATTTCTTCCCAGTCTCCTAAAAACACTTCCCTGTCAGAGCAATATCCACCTCCCACATTACCCCAGAGGAAGAGGGACATACAGGATGCATTGCAGTTGGAAACACCTACTGAGAGCCAGTAACTGTGACACACACTGGCAGGGACACCCCTTGGTGTGCTGGGACTATCCTGAAAGCAAGGGGATACATACAGGATCCAGGACCTGCACCGCCAAATGAGCTATCAGATTTGCTAGTAATAATTGTAGCCTTAGACTTTTTGTCTAGCTGCAGTTTCCTCCTGCCTCTTTGCTCCACCAGTCTCAGCATCCTTCTCTCAAGCCAGTGTCAGTCAAACCACTGAACAATGCAAAAAGTCTATTAAACAAGCAGAGATATAACTGTCCAATCAGGGCCAAAAGGACTGTTTCAATTATATTTTCTGATAAAGCAGAAGCACATTTAGGGAGTTATTTACCTCCATACTAGATCCTGTAATATTTCTGTGTGAAAATATTTACAAACCTGACATCCACAGTTTTATTGCATTCATGGTCAAACACCTCAAAAGCTTCTATAATCTTTTTCTCAATTTCAGCTACTGCGCCATCTGCAAAAAGAAACATAAGAAAAGAGAAAGAAACATTTACTGAGCTGTTGCAACTAATTTATTTCCAATTTAAGAATTGCAACAGCAGAAGCACCAAAACTGATAAAGGGGCAGACATGAAAGGTACTTCAAAAAGCAGAAGTTATTCTGAAAACTCCACTCTAAATGAAGAATCTACCATTTATATTAGTAATATGGCCTTGTACGGCTCCACAGCTACATCAAGCCTAATGCTAATGGTGCTAATGGTGCGTCTCAGCTGCACAATCACCTAGTCATCCAGGTGTGGACACTGCTCAGTGTGCCACAGCTCCTTCTGGACCCTGAGCCTTCCTGAACACCACGGTGCCAGTGGAAGGAGCAAGGCAAACCTGGTCCCAGGCTTGCTCCGAGACGGGGCTGAGTCATTTCATCCAGGTTCCTGCACCCAAGGAAACATAGGTGCTCTCATGTCCACTAAATTACGGAATGTATGAAAAGCTAAGAACCGGGAATAAAGAGGTGGCTAAGATACATGCACAGTGAGTATGTCTCATGGTAAATAATTTATTGCAACAGTATGGAAAGGCAGACAATCTCAGGGAAGGGGAAGGAGCAATTTGCTGCATTTGCTTTTTATTTTTGTATCTCAAAGAATGGGGAAAGAAGAACCACAAGTTATCACAGTTTCATCTCATCCCTGGCAATGAAACCAGAGTAAATAAGAGTGAACTGGTTAGCCCATATATTAACATCATGGTTTGACTCCAAAAGACAGAATATAGAAAGCAAAGTGATATGGAGTTGAACTTTTGGTTTTTGTGGCTAAATACAATCCAAATCCCCAGCTAGCAAACCAGCTCTCAGGAGGCAGCACTTTGTGAGCTAGCCCCACAACCTCCACAGGGAAAATCTGAGTGACAGCCAGAACACAGCTGTCTTCTGTATTCTCAACATAATGATAAAAAAATCAACATAATGATAAAAACAGATTTATTTTCTTCTTTAAGCTCACCTGGTGTTAGAAGTGTTGTGGAGCAGCTCTGACCAGCACTAAACCACTGGACATTGTTTCCACTGGCATAACAAATCCATACCTAGTTTCCTACAATTCCAATATTTTGAGAATCCCTGGGGCTGCAGTCTACAACCACTTTTGTCATTTGCTCTCTTGCCCTCATGACAGAAATGTCTTTCTGGCAAAGTGTATCAGAACTGAACCTAGCTAAAAAATATATTGGCTTTGTGATCTCCCTGTTTTTATCTTGACCCAAAAGCTTTTTTTCCATCCTATTTTTTCCCCTTGCGCTGCTAAGGAAGGCAGAGAGCAGCTGGGTGTGTGCCTGGCAGCTGCCCAAGGTCAACCCAGCACAGGCTGCAAGCACTCCAATATAGCAGTGGATTGCCCTAGGTACAGAGAAGCTCTTTTACATATAGAAGAGGTGCATCTCCTTATAAAGGTAAGGTGTCTGCTGCTTTCTGTCTGTGTTTGGTACTGAACTCTCCCAGAGGATACGTAAAGAGAAGAGAGATAGGAATATACCCTGTGTTCCTCTCTGATACTATTCCCTGATGGAAGCATGGGCAGATGGATTGGAGACTGGAGCTCACTGAGGAAGAGGAGGCCTGTTCAGTCCCCAGATAGAGGGCAAGCTGTGTTTTTTCACAGCTTGACAATAATCCCTGCCTTTTACGTGCCTAAGTAGTACAAACCACATTTAATGCCTTTCCAATAAGCATAGTTAAATCTAAGTGGACCTGATTCCTTGTAGGAGAGGCCCTAAAGACTTACTCTCAAACTACTAAATTTGATGGGAAAATCAATTTATTTGATACTAAATTTTTTCAGTGACTTCAAAGAGTCCTGGATCCAGTCTCCAGTGTGGACTGTTGGAGTTTAGTTATTGAGATCATGCACTTTAATTGTACGCTACATCTTGCAATAGAGAAATGCTGAAAGAATATCTACAGCTGTATATTCTTGGCTTGATGAGTGAGCCTTTTGTAGAAATAAAAATTAACCAGGAAAAGGCAGGGAAACACTTCCAGTTCCGGACCTATGTAGCCATCCAGCCTTTTCAAGTTTTGCCTTCTGAGAAAATAGCATACATTAATCCTACCTGTTTTGAGAGGCCTGGCAGAGAAAGATCCTAAAATTAAATGAACTTGAATGATTTAATCGAGGTACCAGATAACCTACATTTCTTCCAAGAACTGAGAGGAAGTTGTGATTAAAAGCCATATCCATGGAAGAAAATATAATATACTATAGTCCTCTCAAAGACTCTGTGTGAGATGAGTGAACACCTAATACGCTATTGCCTAAATCTCTTGTCATCCCTCTAGGGATGAAAGCCAAAGACGTTCAACATAGCTCAGGATGGCAAAGCTAGCTATCTGAAGACTTCTAGGATTCACCCTAAACCTCTCTTTGGGAGGGAGAAAAAAGATGGATTCCAGCTCTAGGATAAGTAATGGATAAAGGTTTAAAACGATCCCTTCAAGAAGGGCATCAAGAGATAAGACATGCAGTTAACTCAGCAGATGTGATGCTCCAGTGTACTGAAATCTTTCTGCACAAGGATTCTCTGCTCCATGTGTAGATCAATGCAAGTTTCATGTTGCCTTGTGGAACAATTTTTTAGCAGTTTTCAGGACAGAAATACCTATGCTCTGATTGAATAAAAGGTTTCACTCACTGTAGAAAAAAAACCCATAGCATCAAAGTTAAAATTATCTGATTACTTCTAATAGCTTAGATAAATAAATATTGAAATAACCATGCCAAAAAAGATACAACTACTTATTCCCTTAAATGCATCGTGT